GCATTGCAATATTATGGATATGTACTTAGAAGTAAGTCCCATTAAATTTAATGAGATTTTCCCTCAGTGAGTGAGTATCTAATCATAGCCTCAACCTGCCATTTGAATTGCCCAATCAAGCAAAAAGAGCAGTATGTTATATAAAAATAAAGAATATCAGTGAAAAATCAGATGTAGCTCCAGTAAGCTTTTATTCTTCATTGCCTTTCGACTTATCATCCTATACATTAATAACTCTTCACAGATTGAATTTGATATGGTCCCTCATGTACTATCCCATTCTTAATGAAGTTGTGGAATTTGAAAGCCATGGATTTAAAGCAAAAGTGTCAATTGTGCACCTGTGAAGAAGGATTTATTACTTAGCTCCCAATACATATCTTATATTCTTTACTGCATTTTTCAGCAACAACAAAATAGAACTTCTGGCTGAGTCAGTGGCAAAGGTCTCTGGCTGTGCAGCCAGAGGTTGGGAGTTGGATACCCCCCCCATGGTGCCTCCTTGACAGGGGCTGGACCTGATGATCCATAAGGTCCCTTCCAGCTCCGCTGTTCTAAAATTATAGCATTTAAGGTAGGTAGCAAACACAGCTAAGAACAAATTAAACAAATTGAAGAATCACAATAATCAACAAACACAATGTGAGGAACTTTTATTAATGTAGATGTCAAGATATGTTCCCATCTCATGAGATATGTAGCTCTTGAGCCTCCAAAAGGGTCTTCGTTAATACATTGACACTATGAATGTTTCAATAAGACAGACAGCCATCTCACAATCAGTGGAGCTCTTCTGTATTTCCGTTATCAATATATATTTTTGTGTGTGCTTAGGGGGGGGGGAAGATTTCTTGGATCTAAAGGGTGACAACACAGGAGTTGGCTAAAGCCTAAGAAATCACTAAGCACATAAGCTAGATAGCTAGAATATTTTGGTCATGTAATGAGAAATGAGAATAACAGATTGTTACAAATGATCATCTGAGATAAAATAAGTGAGATAAGATGGGGCTGAAGAAATCTAGTCGACCTAGCTGTATTTAGCACAACATCACGGCTTGGAGCTGCTGAGGTCAAAGTCATTGTGACTGTGATGACCCTCAGCCTCTGATAGGAGAAGAACAAGGAGAAATTAAAAGGCAGAAGTAGTGCTGGGAAAATGCACTCAGCATCCTCTTGTACTTAGAAGCAGATTTTGCCATGTTTATAATTTACAATTCAGCAAATTATGTAGGGCAGCTGCACAACATTCTCATATAGAGGATTAAACTAGATGACTGTTGACTCATTCAGACAGTCATTTGTCCTGTTGTTTGATGCATTGCGGGGATGGTTTGGTTTACTCTTTTTTCCAGTGCCCACATGATACAATTGCTACAACAGACAAATTTGCCCCTAGAGCACTGGTTCTTAACCTTGGGTTACTCAGGAGTTTTGGACTGCAACTCCCAGAAGCCTTCACCACCAACTGTGCTGGCTGGGGTTTCTGGGAGTTGCAGTTCAAAAACATCCGAGTAACAAAGGTTAAGAACCACTGCCCTAGAGCACCCGGAACCCATAACTTTTTAAGCCCCTTGCCTCTCCTCCCCCACCCACTCCAGCTAGGAGTCTTCTCAGGCAGCTGTGATTGCAGGAACTGGCGAGTGACCCCTTGAGTTGAGAGGGAAGGTATATCTTTTTACTAGGGAACCTTATGGGATTCCCCTTCCCACATCTTCCTCCAGCCTAATTCCCTTCCTCCTGGTTGCTATTTTGCTTCTCATGACTTGGTTGATAGGCGGTGATGTGCATGCACACTCTCTATGCTGCCCTTTCATTCACTCTTCCTGTCTTTGTTGTTTTCGTCGTTAAGTTGTGTCCGACTCGTCGTGACCCCATGGACCAGAGCACGCCAGGCCCTCCTGTCTTCCACTGCCTCCCGGAATTTGGTCAAATTCATGTTGGTACCTTTGGTGACACTGTCCAACCATCTCATCCTCTTCCGTCCCCTTCTCTTCTTGCTTTCACACTTTCCCATCAGGGGCTTTTCCAGGGAGTCTTCTTTTCTTATGAGTTGGCCAAAGTATTGGAGCCTCAGCTTCAGAATCTGTCCTTCCAGTGAGCACTCGGGGTTGATTTCCTTCAAAATGGATAGGTTTGTTCTCTTTGCAGTCCAAGGGACTCTCAAGAGTCAATATGCAGCCTTGTCTAGTTTTTTTTGGACAGTTCACAATTTTAGAAATATTATCATGTGTAGATTTAAACTTCCAGGCAGTATGTTTATTAAGAAGTAAATCTCATAGTATTCAATGTACTTAGGACTGTAACTCTGCTACCTGGTAGGTCAGATTTATAATTCTTCCTAGCCTGTGCATATGGTCCAATATTCCTGAGAACTGTAGAGGCAGGGGTCTCTTCTTTCTTATGGTCAAAGTGAAAGATAGTTTGCCTGATATGTCTTGAAATGGTCTCAGTATTAAAGGGCTACAATGTTAAAAGGCACTTCGAATCCTGTCACAAGAGCTACTCAGTACTGTATATCAAGGTGATATAAAAGTGAACAAGATAAATTCTTTTTTTAAAAATCAGTTTTTGCAGCAAAATAGTTTTTAAAAGCACATTGAGGAGGATCTGCCATCTGTGAAGGTCAGCTATCATGCTGCTAAATGTCTTGCTGAGAGTGGTAAGCCATTAATTGATGATGAATTTGTTAAAAATCTGTAGTTAAATAGATGAAATGTGCCTTGCTAAAGTATCTTGTGTTAGTTGTGTCAATCTATCTGCCTCTACAATCACTAGGTGTGTTGAAGAAGTAGGAGAAGAGCTGCATATACCACTAATGTCAAGGCAAAAAGTTTTGCTCCCCCCCCCCCTTTGGCATTAGATTAGAGCAATGACGTCACAGACACTACTCAACTACTAATATTTATCAGAGCGATAGATTCCAGCTTCAGAATTGTGGAGTTTAACAAGGCACTACAACTGCAGAAAACATTTTCTTTAAGGTGTGTGAATTAGTACAAAATCTTGGTCTGAGTTGGGATAAATTGGAAAGCATCACAACTGATGGAACAAGAAATATGGTAGCAAGTAAAACTGATGTAGTTTCAGGAATCTCCTGAAAAGGACAAAAAGCTGATGCGGAATGAATAAAAATGGGACAATATTCATCCCTTCATATTTGTCAGGGTCTCTGGAGGTCACAAATACAAAGGGTTGAGTATTTAATGAATCAGCAATTTTAAATGACTGTTACGATTCATTTTTTAAATTCATCCCCATGTCTAATTGTAATATACAGAAGTCAGGGGGCTTAGAAGAGGCAAAGTCCTCAAACATTTGTTCAGTCTTTGTCACAAAGTTGATGTCTTTCTCAAAGCAAAAGGAAAAGGTCAAGAAATACTTTCTGACCCTGGGTGGATTTTTGATTTGGCTTGTGTAACTGATACCACAGAGCATCTGAACATATTGAATCTAAGGTTGTAGGGAAAAGGAAAGCTTGTGTGTGACATGTATTTTGAACTGAAAGCTTTTGAAGCAAATCTAAACATTTTTGAGAAGCAAGTTAGGGAAAGTAACTTTTCAGATCTTATGCTGCAATGGACTAAAATTTGAAAATGATGGGAATTTCCAATTCAATGCTGAAAGACATGTCAAAGCACTGAACCTATTGCAGGTGGAATTCCAAAACAGATTCACTGATTGCCATAACCATCGACAGGAAATAAGAATGTTTCAGAATCCATTTGAAGTCACACCAGAAGATTCAAGTAACTTTTTTGTGATTGAACTAATTAATTTGCAAGCCAGTGATAATCTCAGAGACATTTTCAAAGAAAATAGGTTTCTGTTGTGGTCCACCTGATATCTTTATCAGCCTAAAGAAAGTTCCTGCAGGCATGTTGACAATCTGTGGCACCACATACTGTACATCTGTGAACAAACTTTTTCCAAAATGACAACTGTGAAATCCAACTGTAGGTCAGGACCTATAGATGGACATTTACATTATACTTTAAGGATATCTGTCACAGACCTTGACTTGGTCATTAATGCCTTGGCTAACCGAGAACAGTCACAAAAATCACTCTCACTAAGCATGTAAAATGATTCCACAGTAAAATATTGTTCCAAAATGGATTGTATTCCAGTTAATGTTTCTTGACTTCTGGAGTGGATTCTGACCCATGAAAGCTCACACTGTAAACAATTCTGTTAATCTTTATGGGCTGCAATATTTTCTAGAGACTGCTGTGAAGCTATGAAATTATTTATTTCCCCAAATAAAGAAGAAAATACATGGAATACATACTCAGTTTTGCTCAGAAGCAGCATATTCCTGGACTAGTCCATTTCTGCTCAAGTTTGCTCATTCTGCCTTTCCTCCCTTTGAAGCAAATGGTGATACAGTATTTACAGCTTAACAAACAGGGTGTGGTGTGTATGGAAGGAGAATGGTATACACATTTCTAATGAGCAATGTATGCAAGCGAGATTAGAGAGAAGCAGCATGAATCTTCCCTTTCTCCCACAACTGTTGCCCTTGTGATCCTTATCTGGAAATCACTGCCAGCCACAGACAAAAGGCTGAACTTTCTCCCTCACCATCTTCTGAAAGGGTTGTTGTGAGTCATGACTTAGGGTCCTGTCATGGGCCTGTTTGGCAAAGCTATGTTTTCATTTCCCTCTTTTCATAAAGGTCATCCACGTCCGAAGAACGGGGAGAAAGGCGGGGGTGGGGTGGGGTAGGAAGAAGAAGCCGAAGACAAGTGGTAATAAAAAGTTCAGAAGCGAAAGCGAAAGCCTCGCTTGCGCGAGACGCCTTATTTCTCTCAGGCTGGGTCTGGCTCGATGCTTTTCAAGGGAGAGGCGAGGCGAGGGGAGTCCTGGGGCTTTCCGAGAATTTCGCAACCCTCTCAGAGCGGGTCAGTGGAGGGTGGGGGAAATTCATTTCCTCAGCTTTTGCCTGGAAGG